TCTGTTCCGCGTTGGGCTGATCACACCGCTGGACTGTTTACGTCCTGAGCTCCACGATTTTTTTAGCAGTCAGGACTGATTCTATTTTTCTCACATTCTATATAATGAGATGTCATTAACCGACTGCAAACGACACCAGGCATAGGATGTAACCGTCAATTAAAACTTCTTACGGCGCATTCGTTTTCCTAATGGTTGCTAATAGCGATTCAGCCGAGGATCAGGAGATACCTAAATACCGTAGCGACAAAGCCTATTTCTGTAATAATGGGCATTTGCGAGTGGTAGCTACGATAATCCGCGGGTCTCAATTATCAAGGCCCATTATTAATGAGCTACTGGTGTCGGGCCAGCCGCTTGGGTAGAGTGTGGGCTCAAGAGCCTTGTTCCTAATACTGGTACGAAAGGTACAAAGGTACAAGGTAAAGGAGTACAAAATGTCACGCGTACACATCAGTCCAATCTCCACGGGCAGGGTCACATGGAGTGTCGTACGTTGCTGGCGGTACAACTCAAACGAGCACTGATTTTTGCGCGCGCCGACACCGTTAACCCCGCGTTCGCTGCTCGCTCACGTTACAGCCGCGTGCAATATTGCACACGGATGGCAAAGTGCGGTAACCAGGAGGGCTAGCAGTCTTTTCATAAAGCATGCAACAGGCCATAACTGAACACGGAGCCCACCCACCCGGAATGCGACCTTAGCCATCACTTCATGAGCCTAAAGGCCCCCTATCGTGATAGGCCAGCAGCTTACATCGATCCCAGGAGTTCGCGCTGACACCACTTGCATGTGGGAGTACATAGCCAAGCCTCGCTGTCGTCGTTTCGGTCTGACGCCGCGTTCAAAGAGTGGGTGCTGTCGGTACTTATTGGCAAATGAACATTACGTGTCGTTCATAAACCACACCAGCTTCGCGCGCTCTGCCGCGACAGGCTAGCACGCACCGGGACATAGCCCGTCCGCAAGTGAGACAGCTCGGCGCGAAGCACGGAGGACGCTTGCAGCGGTCCGGCCCCTCTCCGCTGTCTGGCCGCTCACTGCTGTCTGACCGCTCACTGCTGTCTGGCCGCTCACTGCTGTCTGGCCCCTCTCCGCTGTCTGGACGCTCACTGCTGTCTGACCGCTCGCCGCTGTCTGACCGCTCGGCGCTCTCTGATCAATTGCCACTGTCTGGTCGCCCGCGGCCGGTCGTCGTACTCAATTTAGTGTGCCTAACTACCTGTAAATAACGACTTTTCAGCCCTCTGCACAATACGGCTAAGTCGATAAATGGTCTTCGAGTTCCATGCAGTGGCTACGTGGCCGGTCGATAGGGTTCTGAGCGGGCGTCATCACGTGTCTCCTGGCTGCTTAATTTATGACTAAGCGGGGCGCTGTCACCCGAGGTGGAGGATGGGGTGTGGCGCCATACTCGGGGCTAGTGGGGGCTGGTGGGGGCAGGGGCTCCCGAGGGTAAGCGCTTGTGATAATTCCGCCGAAAATCAAGAGATACCTAACTACCGGCTGCGACAAAGCTGCCTATTACCCAAGCTCCCTCCCCCCTCCCTCCTTATCAAATTTACGGTGTGTGTAAAATAAACGTGAACTACTGGGTACACATGTAGACATAACAAGACATGCGATCTTGTTTGACGAAAACACAAACTTTCGCGCGACTGTAGCATACTTAACTCTGTTTTCACGGGATATTCCCGAATTGCGCTTCCCGCACAGTGAAATCTTACGTGCGCCCCAGGCCATGTGTGACGTCACCAGCGCCTGCCTACCGGCTGAGGAGGCCACAGCGTGAGCCTGTTGTACGGAAAAGACGCTTGAAACCAGTCTCCCGCCACGTTGGCCGCGTTCATCAGCGCTAGAGATGAGGGTAGAAGGAAGCTCATGTAAATGAGCTTCCTCCTGAAGCTCATGTAAATAAGCACATGAGCAAGCTCACGTAAATTGCGTTCAGTAAAAGTCTGAATCCACCGCAGCCATCTCATAAGTAATTAAAAACCACGCGCGGCACGTGTGCCATCGCTCCCTCCGCAAGAACATTATATCTGACAGATCACGGAGTACGAAACGCACTCTCCACGTCGTTTACAATAAATGGGACAGTCTAGCCACCGTCCGAAAAAAAGACATCCGCAGCAGGAAAAACCCGCCAAAACAACCAGCAGCCGTCGCAAGCGCTTTCCGAACCGGCAAGCGTCTTTTTGTTGGCATTGATTTCCGATCGAGCCCGCCACGTGGCCACCTGCTGAGCCGCACCCCTCACACCGCTGCACGCAGTCACCGGGAATGCGAACACGGCCCTGACCGCTCACGACTGACCCAGCGTTCGGTTTTGGCCCGGGCACGACACATCAGCCGACAACCAGACAGTGCATGACGGTGAGCAGCGGATGACTGCCGACGCTTGTGACGTCCGGCGGGTGTCCGTTTGTGGCCCGGTAAGGTGTCGCAGCCACCGGCGAATGTTCATTTATGGTCCAATAAAGTGTCGCAGCCACCGGCGAATGTCCGTTTGTGGTCCAGTAAGGCAGCGCGACGTCCGCCGAGTGAATCGGGGTGTCGTTTGATGGGGGAAACTGGGCCGGGGCTGTTACCGGGACGATGCTGTTGTCCGTGGTCACATTACTGTTACGTGCGAAGCAGAGGGTTGAGAGAATCTTGGCAACAACAAAACAACAATTGTGTACCTTAGTGGCTCGGGCCAGCCAGTCACGGTTTTAACAGGCCTCGAGTCGTGTTTTTGACTGTCTTAAAAAGCAGCTTGCGGCAACAAGGAGTATAATTATTTAAAACGTTCCGTAATACTTCAAGAGCTTACTCGCATGTATCAACGAGAAAGCTTTCCGGGAACATTTCAATATCATCACAATTTCATCTTCCCCACCTTCCAACAACGGGGAAGACACGGCTTTATGACTGCAAACTTTTTGAAGTGCACGAGTTCAAACTAAGCTGAAATATGGACGAACTGGCGCCACAGGAAGCCAAGACAACGCATTTTTACGACGGAAAGAACGGACGATCGTGCTGGTAGAAGAGCAGGTCGATGCGTGCAGGCAGCCAAGGGTTTCAGACTAAAACTCCGACCCCGAAGTTTTTGGGTGGGGAAGTGGTGTTTTTAGGCTGCGATCGGAGATTGTGGCACACGGAGCAGGGCAAGACGAAGAACCAACAGTTCTCCTTGTGCGAATGCGCCGTCTGTTACGCGCTACACGATCTCAGCAGAGGGTCATCTCATATCCATGTCAGTAATGGGCAGAGAGGCGCCAATCCAACAAAGCGGGACAACATGTCGAGGCCCAAAATGAGGGCTCTCACTACAAAAACTGCACAGATTTGAGTGCAGGTTATTGCGACTGAGACCAAGCCAACATAGTTATGTTTTGCAATACTTTCGTCACTCTTTCCAAAAGCGTACACCACTGCAACTTGGACAGTACTGTTAGCCTAATTCCTCGTGGAATAACCGAGAGAAAGGGTATATATATATATATATATATATATATATATATGCATCAATATTTGGGCTACATGCCTCAGTCAAAGTAATGCCGAAGTGTCGCTCATATCGATTTGAGGTGGTTCATTATCGTTTTGACGAAGGCATGCCACCAGTAAATCAATAAATGTACAGCTCCTTTCTCCTAGCTATTTGAAGAGGAAAAAAGCAATCAGTATTGTCTAATGCATGCGTAATGTTCCTCGCAGCTGCACATAAGAACTAACGGCTCCAGCCATCAATTTCATCGATTACAACTTTCATTCGTTGCCAAGCCTGACCCCACCTGGACTTTAAGGCCGCAATGTTCGTAGAGGTATGCTTGGACATCAAAAATCGTTGCGTCTCTTCGTGATAGACTCAGTAAGGAGGGACATCCCAAAAAGGGATAATACAATGACATGAACTATCTGCATGGATTCCCAAAGGCGACAGGCTTCATTCGCAGAGGTCTAGTGTCTCCATGAATTCCCAAAGGCGACAGGCTTCATTCGCAGAGCTCTTGGTGTCATCTTTATGAAGATAACACATCTGGTGTCACCTGTTTTTCCCATGCCGCAAAACGCGCCTTACTGAAGGTAACTAGCACGTACCACGACATCTAACCAGCAATCTATATGATGTAGATCAGTTTGGGCATGGGGCGGCAACAGATGATGTCGATACCGCTAGGTCAAACAGCTACAACCAATATTGTTGAACTTTATGTACACGACCCCAAATATCCCACGAGACACATCCACGTGCCAATAACCACCACCATAACCGACGGTGGGCGGCTTTCCTTGACGCAGCTTATGACGTCCGAAAAAGCCGGCAAACACGCCGGCGCGCGTGGCAACGAGACGCTTGACGTAGCCCATGACGCGCGAGGAGCGCGGCTGACCATCAGGGGAGCTGGCCAGAGCACGGCGATGGTGCCCGCGACGTGCTCGTCAAGCTACACCGGCTCGCGGCGGGGACGCACCCACGTCAGCGGGCTGGTACCTTCTGCGGCATCTCCCCGGTGTCGGCCCCGTCGACCGGCGATGAATTGTTAACAGCGTGCCGCCCGTGTCTCCGACATGCCTCGGGCGTTCTCAGAGCCAGTGGTAGGTCCAGTGGCACGATGCAACCAACGCAGTGATCAGCGTTGCAAAACTACCCCCTCAACATGACGGGCGGCACTCCCAGCACGGTCTGTGGTCGGAAACGCATGCCTGGAAAGGAGCAGCGATCCCGCTTCGAGGCAGCAAGTCGTGTAGTCTTCCTCGACAACACCGCGCCCCGCAGAGGATGGCGGGCGGCACAGGCTAACCGTGACCGGCGGCACAGGCTCTCCGTGACCGGTGGCACGGGCTAGCCGTGACTGGCGGCACAGGCTAGCTGTGACCAGCGGCACAGGCTAGCCGTGACCGACGGCACAGGCTGTCCGTGATCGGCCACACAGGCGGCGGGGGGCTGGCGGGCGGCACAGGCCCGCGTGCCGAGACGTGTCGCGCCCGGCGTGGCGCGCGCGCTCACCTTCTTGACGTAGCTGGTGGCGTCGTCCTCGGTGACGGGCTCTGCGGAGATGGCGCCGCGGCGGCGCACCGGGCCGGCCGACGGGGCCGGCAGCGGCGACAGGTCATCGCCGTCCTCCGGCGAGGCCGGCGGCTTGCGGGACTCCCGGGTCTGCTCCTGCGAACAGGGGCGCATGCGGGCGCGTTAGAACAGGGGCCGACTGATGCAGACACGGCGAGGACAGACGATGGGGGAAGCAGCCGATTACGGCTGACAAGGAACCGACAGATAGCCTGCTGTGGCGGCTGATTTAGACGCAAAGAGAAACAAACTGACAGAACCAAACAGATCGCCGACCACAACAGCCAACTTAGACGCCGACGGAAAACAAACTGACTAAAGCCACAGATGAACACTGACACGGAAACAACCGATCGCCTATTGTAGCAGCCCAGTTAGAAAAACGGGAAAACAAACAGGCCAGCTTTCCCGCTGGCGCAGTGCTGGTAAAAACCGGCACATGGGTTTCGGACGCAGACAACCGGACACTGAAACGTGACAGGAAACCGGCGCACGCTGGACACGCTTGACGGGGCACCCATCGCAGGGTGTGGAGCCAGTCCCACACACTTCTTATATGAAAAAACGCGACGTACGTCGCCGCGCCCCTTTTATGGACCACCAGCGACCGTCTTGGTCACAGCACCAACCTCACCAGGGGTCAGCGTTGTCACCAACACCCCGCCGCCTGTGAGGGCCGCGCCCGCCAGGCCCGCAGACCCGGCTGATCTGGTCAGAGGGGCCGCTCTGACTGGCCGGGACGAGTCCTAGGAGCCGCCTGTGGGGCTGCGCCCGCCAGGCCCGCAGACCTGGCTGACCTGGTCAGAGGGGCCGCTCTGACTGGCCCGGACGAGTCCTAGGAGCCGCCTGTGAGGGCCGCGCTCGCCAGGCCCGCAGAACTGGCTGACCTAGTCAGAGGGGCCGCTCTGACTGGCCCGGACGAGTCCCAGGAGCCGCCTGTGGGACTGCGCCCGCCAGGCCCGTAGATCTGGTTGACCTGGTCAGAGGGGCCGCTCTGACTGGCCCGGACGAGTCATAAGCGCCGCCTGTCTGGCAGCGCACACAGGCAGCAGACAAGTGCGGTGAAGTCCGCCGGTTGGGAGGGCTTCCCTCCCGAATGACGCCACCGCCGACGACAGCTCCCGACCAGCACCACTCACGAGACGGGAGGGGACGCCGCCAGTCAGTGGAACATGGCGGGTCACCAGGTCCGTCCCCCGGCGGAAATGGCAGCCGCCATCCGACCGCCGCCTGCTGCCAGCCTTCCATCTTTATGAGATCACTTCGTGTCATCCGGTGCTGACGCCGCCGATGCGAGGCAGGATGTGCGCGCAGGAAGCGCCATAAAACACTTGACACGGGCTGTCAGGGGACTGTTTTATTGCTGTCAGCGATGCAAGCACACGGCGATATATTGAGCGCGATTTGAGAGCCACGAGATACGACGGAACACGACCAACTATCGTTTCTATGCCCTCGCGACATGTCACGGTTCGCAACAGCGGAAGTACACCTGGCGTTCCAGACCAAGTGATTGGGTGACTGGATAACACGCTGACGTTCTGCTGATCAATCTCACTTTCAGCGCCAAAACAGCGCAAAGCTTGAGAGCACTGTCAGCACGGCCCGAGCAGGCGGGCTACGTTCAGAGCTCTCCGGACCGACACCGCCTGCTCGGACCAGCTCGAGAGCACTGTAAACCCGGCCCGAGTAGGCGGACTACGTTCAGAGCTCGCCGGACCAGCACCACCTGCTCGGGCGAGCGTGCCGAACCACGTCGCAGCCAGCCCACAAACAAAGCAAGCTGGATAGGTGAAAATGTGCTCAAGTCAGTCAGTGCGTGATTTTGACTCAAGTCACGCGGGGTTCTCAATCGGGAGCGAAGCGGAAATGTCGCGCGGCACGCCATCCTTCCAGTTTGAGACCCAGACCTTATTTGAAACCCAAACGACTCGCGCTAACGCCCATGCGCTGCCTGACATAGCGCACGCGAATTCCTCCATTCTATGCATATAAATTGTGGTGAAAATGACTATCCCAGCTATAAATACACACTGAGCAGCCGATCGTAATATTAAGCGACGTTTTCAAAACAAGCGACGGGAGCACGCTCCCTGCCAGCAGCTGGCGTCTAAAGATCGCCGGATAACAGTTTCACAGCAAGGGCAGGGGGCCAAGGCGTTCGGAAATAGCCATCAGCCGGATAGCATGCCAGCCTCTATTTCAACGATCCACATCCTGGAGGCCAAACCATTACAAATTCAGGCTGCGCAAACGCACGCGAGGCAAGCTTGTCAGTTTCACTCGCCCAGAATTCATGAATAATTCGCCATTGGGGTGGTTCGATAACCTGGACTCGTCGCCGCGCTATGCGAGCACGAAAATGATACGGCAATTTGGGTTATTTCACGACGCATGCAGCTCGTTTGGTCCGGTAGCATCACATATTTACCGGTGGCGGAGGAAGCGAAACATCAGTATAGCGTTCAGGCCTGAACTCACGATCCGGCGGCGCGGGAAGCGTGGAGCGTTGCCATAATACAGCCCCTCCTGATGCATTGCATGAAGGGGCCGTGCTTTTCAGCATAATGACTTATCATGCCACTCACGAACTATCCAATTTAACTTGCGTTAGGTATTTTATCGCCTGCAGAAGATAAATGCGCAGCTCGACGAGGCATTTATATGGGGGTCCCTATCTGACGCAGAATTGAAGCAGCCGATTTTCCAAGTTTGTTTCAAATGTAGAAAGTTGCGAAATCTTGTCCTGGTTCATACCGGTTCTATCTGTTTGCCAGCCATTTGCTCTTTACGCTGTGATGTTTCCACCCTGTTTGGGCTATAAGGCAGACCCTGTGGAAGCCTGCCATGCGGCAATATTCAGTTAAGGTCATGGTCATGGTTCAGGTTCAACAGTTTAGGTCATGTAGCGTTAAGGCAACGCTCACACCTGTACCAGTACAATCTGACTGTTAATAAAACGTCCAGACTGCCCAAAGCGGTGATTCAATGTCCGGAAAACGTTCAGACTAACACTAAACAGCAAAACCCAGCGAGAGAACAGCAAAAACAGCGGGAGCTCCTGGAACACGGCCCAAAACAGTTTCAGAACGCTTGCCTTCCTGAACAGACCATCCCGTCTTCGCAATGAAATGCGCTCGCAATTTCGGCTCCCCTCTCACCATTTCCCGCGCGCACTCCTGGCACCACGCCGGACGTAGCAGCAGCGAGAAACACAGCTGGCGCCTGGGCGGGGCGAATCAAAACGAAGGGAGACGGCGGCAGCAGTGGGCTGGTGACGCCGCCGTCCGCCGAGGCCCCACTGCCGCCGCCAGCTCCGCAGCGTGACAGGCCGGAGGCGGGGGCCAGAGTCCACGGCCGGCGAGCTCGCTTGACGTGGAATTTGCCCAGAATTTGCCCAGAAACCCATCTCACGACGCCCATAACAAGCGGATCAAGCGCAACTGGCCCGCTGCGCTGAAAGATCGGCACAGAGCTGCAGGCAGAAGTCGGCTTGTCTGCAGGTTTCAAGTTGGATGACTTTCAAGTTTATATCGAGCATGCGTTCGCGTGCAAGGAGCCTTTTTTCTTTTTACTTTTTGGCCGACACACGCACACACACCTGGACGAGCGAATACTCATACTCATACTCAACATACTGATACTCAACATACTCAGGAAGAGGTAGAATCCCTCCACCGAGATTTTTCACCATGGAGCGGGAGGAAGCCCCACGCAGCTCCCCATCAGCCACGGCTACATCGCCCGCCCAACATTGACACATGAGACACGATGCAGTAGCTTCCGTCGGCGTTGGCGCATCTCCAAAAGCTTGTTGAACGCATCAGCGACGGAAGCGGGTGTTGCTTCTTGGCGCGTGCCACGGCCAGAATTCACACCGGTACAATTCACAATTCCCAGCACGATGGTCGATGCTGGTACGTCAGCAGCATCGATTACCCAAACTAAAGTTCACAGAGTTCAGAGCTGAACCGCTGTAGGCCCGACTGAATGTCAACCTGTTGACCTTAATTCATTCAACCGTTACGTAGCTATAGCTGGCTGAATCCGCGCCCGGACACAGACGCCGAATATACCGCTTCTAGAACGATTCCAGGTACCTGGTAGTGCATGTCAATACGTCGAAGCTTTTTGGGCTAAGAACTTCTGTTCTTGAACTGTTACTGTTAACTAATTTCAGACCAACCCGATCCACGCCGACAGAGATTCACTGCAATTGGCGTTGGCAGAGAGGACAACGTGTGCCTGCAGATGTGACGTCTAAACATACGGCGCGATGCCGAGCAGGTCCGGAAGGGGCCAGTTTGGTTGATCGCTGGCCCGGCAGAGCCAGACGTGCCAACTCCAGGCCAAATGACGCCCGGAGCCGGTGACCAATGGGGCAGCGCGTCAGCCGACCGCAGCAGCACGGAACGCGAGCCGGTACCGTGACCCCTGACCTCCGCCGCCGCCGGCTGTCACGTGCAGAGCGTCTGGCGCGCGTCCGCCGCCGCGCGCGTGGCCACCAGAGGCAGACATGGAGGGGTACTGCTGAGCACGAGAGACACTCAAAAGGACAGAGGCTGGCGGCCAGGTTTACTTTCAACAAGCTTACGTTATACGACCGTCGTCGCATTCCAAGATAGCCCACGTTGTCAGGGCAGCGGACGGACACCACAAGCCTCGGCGCCGCGAGTAGCCGCCGGCGTCTCCGGGCCCGATGCTGCCGGCCTGCCCAACGCTCCACGATAAGTGCCGCTGATGATGAGTGACTGCGAACGTGATCCGTCCCACAAACCAGTCGGATAACGGCTACCAGGAGTCATGGTCGACGGTCGTCGCGGCAGGGGTCGCGCGCTGCGCATGTGCGCCAGTCGGCGCCTTCCCACCAGGCGTCCGAGCTGGAAGCTGGGCGGTGATTACACGCGGGTGCCCACCGTTTGGTGACAGTTGCATCTGGTCGGATACATCTAGTGCCTCACGGTTACAAGTAGTCCGTCAAAGTGATGCCGCCCGTGATAGCTGTATAGCTCCCAAAATGACGGAATGCTCGAGTTCTACTGAGGGATAGTGAAGCCAGTTCCGAACGCGTCCATCGCGTGCAAGGCCTTAACCTT